GCACAAATCAAATCGCAGTTAGTGTTTTATAACTAAGGGTATAAATTTCATAATATTTAAGCTGTTCCTTAAAAATAAAAGTAATTTTACGTTGTATTTACATGGGAAAGGACATAATTATAAGTTAAGGCTTGCGCTGCAGGAGATCAGAAAATCAACCTAGAGGAGAATTACCATATGCGTACACACCACAGGCCGGACGGGATACCAGGCATGTGGTGCTTATTACCCCACTTGATCTCAACACCCTTTGGGGTGGGTATGGTTTTACTGACAAAGAATCTGACATTCAGAGAGGTTGGGTATGTTGCCCAAGGCCCCCACGCTAATAAACAGTAGAGCTGGGACTCAAACACCTTTCTGACTTTAAAGTCTACGCTCCTCCCAAGACTTTACACCTCCTCAGTATTATTTTCAGAACTGAGAGTTTCAGAATCTGAAGGGGATGAAAAGTGAAGCAGAAATAAGAAAGCAAATGCCGTGAGTGACATTTGAAAACGCAGCTGAACTTCCACAACGATACTACTTCGCGTGTACTTGTTTACACCCCTCACCCAGGTCCGCGTTTGCGTGTAATGGCACGCTAGAGAAGCTGGGGCCGGAGAAGGTAAATATACCTGGTGTGCCCAGCATCTGGCCAGCATCTGGCCAGGGCGCAGCACACAGAGACCGTCCGGCGTCCGGTGGCGCACCACGCACTCATATGCACCCTCTGAAATGGCCGTTGAGAAACATCTGCGCTCTCAACGCTTGGGAAAGCTGGAGATCATCAATTCCCATCCAGGAATCAGATTACAGTCACAGGGTGTCTCCCACAACCTGCGCTTGCCCTCCAGTGAGAAAAGTCGACGCCGGGGCAGGACGAATCTACCACCACTGCTCTGAGAAGATGCCTTGCTGAATAAGAAACTTCCCAAGGAACAAGAAAAGAACAATTCCTGGCCCTGGCTGGTGCCGGCCCACACTCCCAAGGGTCCCGGGTTCAATTCCCGTTAAGGGCACATACCTGGGTTGCCTGTTCCCCCCCGGGCCCAGTCTGGAAGCGTGCAGAAGGCAACCAATCGATGTGTCTCTCACAGGG